CCCACGCTGCAGCCACTTGCAGCCTGCATGGGGCTGCCTGTGCTGGCTCAGGACTGCTCCATGTGGGTGGCAAGTGGCTGCAGCAAGGAGTGCCAGCCATGGGGTGGGGAGGGGCCGCTTTTCCCCGTGCTCTGCACCAGCTCATCCCCCCTCCTCTTACCTGAGTTTCCGGTGCCAGTGCACATGGGGAAGGTGAGGCCAGGTGGGTCCTTCTGTTGTGGGAGCCTGCCGGGCTTCCCCTGGGTCCTACTGTCCCTGGTTCCTGAAATTTTTGACAGGAACCAAGGACAGAAACATTTTATTTTTCAAAGATTATTCAGGGGCCCCGTGGGCTGGATAGAATGGCCTCCCAGGCTGGATCTGGCCCGCGGGCTGTATTTTGCCCACCCCTCCACTAGAAACAGGGCTAACATCATTTCACAGACACCATAAGTGGCCATAACATGACACATTTCCTTCTTGTGCTACCATACTAGCTCCAAATTCAAACCATTCTTTCAAAGGAGTAGAGTTCAGTAAGCAATATTATTAAATGTAGTTTTAATCCACACAAATGACATGCTACAAATATTTTGCAATATTTTAGCTTTTCACTGAGCTAGTCTCACAACAATAGACAAAAAAGACTAGATTTCATGTGTTCCACTACAAGTGAGGGACAGGACTCAAAAATTTAAGTACAGCTTGGTTTGTGTTTTCAGCAGAATCTCAGGTCACTTCAATCATGTTATTTAGCTCCCATTTTCTTTCAAAACAAGTTTCCTAGGTTACAGAGAGCCTATAAAGTATAATTTTTAAACTTTTTATTATTTAAAATAATAAAAAATTTTTTTTCCTGTTTTTCCTTTTAAAATTCACCATAATTAAAAAAAATACATTTAATTTATTTCTCATGTGGAACTATATATTCTTTAAATTCCCCTCTTGAAATATTTTCAGTTTTAATTCTCATGTGTTTCTTAAAATGTAATTAAGTGCAACCCTATGAGGCCATAGGATTTCATAGAGAGGCCCTTGACCAGTAGAAAATTCAAAGTAACCTAGCTTTCATAGTGCCACATACTGCTTAGCAGCAACTTTGGCAGAAGGTTGAAGAATATATTATCAGTATGGGTAATTGAAAGGGACCAGGTATGAGAAATATGATCCAGATCCTGTTCTTACTAGAGCCAGTAGCAAAACTTCAACAGGAGTAGAAACAGGATCTATGAGACTTGTTTAAAATATATTGAAATACTTTCCTGAAATAAGCAAATACCACTTTATGAATTTTAAAGAAAATTTAAAAGCTCTATTACGACATAACAAGAACGTCACTGATGCCTAAATGCATGGAAGTCATTGTCATGTACGTGGCAGGATACCATCTGTCTCTCCCCAAACTCTGCTATCTGACAATTTGGTTACCATGGTTACTGCAAAGGGCAGACTCCTCTGTCCCATCTCTTCAGGTAACCCTGAGTTGTAACCTGAGCTGGATACATTCCTGAGGGAGGGGGAAAACCTGCTCCCTCTGCCTATGTGACTAGCATTGCATACCTGGGTGGGGGGCTTAAGCTCTCTATTGTTCTGAGCAATGCCAACCTGACTGGGAGGAGGCTAAAGACCCTGCCAGTCTACCCAGCAACCAGTGATGCATTTCAAATTGGTTGCCTGGCAGCCAAGAGTTGCTGGTCTTCATTGGACCAGGTAAATGAGGTTATAAGGGCTATATAAGTGAAGGACTGCCCAGGAGGAGGGGGAGTAGCTCGGATGAAAACTCAGAGAGAAGCTGAACCATCTGAAACTCTCTCTCTCTCTCTCTCTCTCTTGAAACTTATACTCAGTGAACTGCCTGCCTTCAGAGGAAATCTCCACCTGCCTCTGGATGATACTTGTGAGTAAGCTATCTGAGATCTAACTAGTAATAGTAACACAGATGTGTAATCAAAGGCTTCTATGCCATTGTTTGCTCTAAGGAATTTCTCTGATATTGCTGTACCCTGTACTCTATTCCAAACCTAGTCCTGGTAACCAATAAAGTTCTCCTTTGTACCTAGCATGGGAGACTTACTGGGAGAGGGTCTAAACTATGCCTTGGAGTCCCTTTGGTTTGGCTGACCATTTGGTCCCTATTTGTGCTTCAGACTGAGGGAAGCACCCCAAGTTCTTCCAGTGGGTCAAGTACCCTCAAGGACTACTAGACCTGTGTGTCCCAAGGGGTACAGGTCCCACGATCAGTCCAGATTCTGGGTGGTGGCAGCATTACCCCCAGGCTAGTGGGTGTGCTCAAGGAAGGGGGTTGGCCAGACACGAGGGGCCCCAGGGAGGCACGCGGAGCCTGGAAGGTGGTCAGGTGCAGTGAGGTGGGTGCCTCAATGCAGGAGCACCCTCTACTGGCCTGCAACAATATACTTAAGAAATATTTTTGAGTAGATATTTGAGAAAATAAAGTTGTAAATGATGATAAAATATTCTTTTGTTAGAGCCGATTTACTTGTCTATGTTATAATCAGTTTGAAGGGGACTGAAAAACAAACAAAAACAGAACTCTTAACAGATCCACTCATAAAGGCTGCTAGGCCACCAATACAATCTGTACAAAACTGGCAAAGTTACTAGTAAGTTACTTCTAAAACTCCTTGCTAGTGTAACAGCTGCCCAAATGCAGAGACAGCAGGCTGGGCAAGGAAGCAATGCTAGAGCCTTTGCAGAAAGAACAGGAAGGAGCTTGCAGGTGGGAGCTCTGAAAAGGTGCAAGCCTAAAAATATGCATGCCGCTGATTAGATTGCCAGCATAACAGAGGGGGCTTGTTGGCTGCGTGTGGGATATAAACACAGCAGATGATGGGAAATGTCGGGTGGGGAGGAGCTGTTTGCCAACTTGAGGGAGAGGATTGGGACAGTCAGGAAGGGGACTGAAAGCCTGCTCCACGGAGCCAACACACCAGGAAAGATGGGCAGCGTGTGGTATTCATTAAGAAGCTGAGTCCCCCATCTTGGAGAGGAGCTGTGCAAACTCAGGAATCAGGTTCCCCCCGGGAAAGGGGGAGTCTGTGCTTGCAGCTGAGTCAGAGCCGTGGGAGAGTTTAGGCTGCAGGAACAGGGGATAGTCTCTATTAAGCAGCCTGAGTTTCACAGGGAAAGGGAACGTGAGGTGACATTTAACCTTGTCATGCTTGTAAGAAGTTTGTTTACAGGGAAGGAATCATCCTGCTGCCATCTCGACAGAGGTTTCTGTTTGAAGGAAACACTGGGACTGTGCACCCTACTCCTCAGATGCCTGTAGGAGCCGTGCACTGCCATCTGGTGACCACTCAGCACAATAGCAGTGTTGCCATTTATTTTTATTATGTGAACTGAATTTATTATTGTGAACTGAATTCCTATTGGAACTAAGGTGTAGAGTCTATAATCTGTGAATGGACATATATTGATAGGGCTATTGTATGTGGGATCACTTGTTGGATGGACTATTCCTTAATGTTGGGTTTATAGATAATATTTTGGTTAGTGGTTTTAATGAGTGTTATTGAAGCATGTAATGCATATGTGTGTGTGTGTGTGTGTGTGTGTGTGTATGTATTATATTTGTTATTAATCTTTTCTCTTCTTTTCTGTAAATAGTTATAGCTAAAATTAAAGAACCCTATCTGTTACTTAGGCTGGAGTGGAGTCTTGGGAAGGTGAGAGCGAGGAGAACACTTTTTTTTTTTTGGTGGGACACCTCAGCCAGCCAAGCTGCCTGGGGGAGAGCCCAAAACTATTGACACCCTGAGGATCTTGAATCTGGTATAGCGCCTGGCCCTGGTGCTGGAGGAGGGTTACATTAGCATGGAAATATTCTCAGCTCTGTTCCAAAAGAAGTGCAGCAATTTAATTTTGAAATTGGATGCACCAAGCCTGCAATGGGTTCTAGAAGCTGAACCATCTCCACCTGCATATAGCCACAGGGAATTCACAATAGCTCCACACTGTAGGATTGGGACCTGAACTAAGCCATACAATGACAGAATTTAGCATCAGTTTTGTTGGCCTTTTGCCAGGTACAAAGTTTTAAAATCAGCCTATATGACATGCCCTCTGTCAGCAATTAGAGATCATGTCTGTGTCTTTTTCATTTCTAGTCTCTTCTGATTTTAATATAATCCTAAAACCAAATTTTGGGGTATGCTGAATTTCCTCTGAAGGCAGGCAGTATTTAATTTCCTGTAGCCCCCATTTTGGAAGCACAGATTTCTTTGCCCTACTAGAAGTGATATCAAAAAAAAATTGTCATTCCTGGATGGAAACATGTGGCTTAGGATCATACTGAAAGGCTACAAGACTAGTAATGTTACTTTAAATTTCCCAATTTTGTGAGCCTCAGCAAATTATATTTATACAAATCTTTTTCATACCAGGAGAATAATAACAATCACATAATCATGTTAATAATTGTAAACTTGCCCCCATACTAACCTTGTTAGCAGCATTAAAGAAGTCACTGGCCTCTTGTAACAATTTTTTCCTTTCCTCCATGTGACGGCACACCTCTTCTTGCAAAAGAGTTATTTTCTGATTTGAAAGCTTCAGGTGCTCTTTTTCTGCGTAATCTTCTGAAAGCAGAATCTTGAGTGCTTCAGCTTTTAATTGTCCCACAGTAAAATTCCATTCCTAAAAGAAAGACTGTTGATTTAATCAATTCCATGTAGTTAAAATGAAATGAAGAAAAATTTTGTACTGTAACATATACTCAATGGCAAATACAATAATTGTAAATTTATGCAACTCAAGGTTATGGCAAAATGAAAGAGAATTTCTCTCAGATAGCTTCTAAGTAAAGTGCTTTAATGAATGACAAAATTGCCAGCGGACCTGATACACACGTTCCCACATGTATGATGACCATGGTAGTGCCACAGGCAAAAACAGCATAGACTATAGCACAGGTTCCCAACCATTGAAGGGGTGGCTGCTGGGTCATGGCATGGGCCCCCCACCCAGACCCCCCCCTTTCTGCCTGGGCAAGCGGCTTCCACTGCCAGCAGTCACATGCGGGGTTAAAGTTGGGTGGTGGGGCAGCCCTGGAAGGGAGGCAGCCAGCTCTGTGCACCCCATCTCACTACCATGCCAGTCCGTAGAGTAAAAAAGGTTGGGAGCCACTGGACTATAGTATAAACATTGCATGAACTGGTTTGAATAAAAGAAAAAAGCATCTTCAACCATATAATAATCTATTATTTTTAAGGTGTGGATAAATGAATTTACCACCTAAGCCCCTTTGGTTCAGACCACATTGCCATTTGTAGGAGGCCTCTTTCTCTTTGGGCACCTGCACACATGCCCAATGTCTGCTCCAACATGAGTTAGTTAGCACACATTGCAGCAGACTTAATTAATTGAGTCTGCTGAAGCGTGCAAATTAACACACTCCAGCTGCCTCAGCCTCATGTGTATTCAGTGTCCCCACACTTCAAAGGGTGGCAGGGGTGCTTTAACTAAATCTCATTGAACAAGCAATAGTTAAAGCACCCCTGCTGCCTTTTTGAAGTGCGTAACACTGAATACAGGAGATGCTGTGGGCACTTTAATTAGTGCAGCTCCCAAGAGCTGCTCTAATTAAAGCGCCACTCTGCCTCCACCCTGGAGCATGTGTAAAGATGACTTTTGGGCCTACCATCCAAGTAAGGACAAAATGAACTAATTCCATGATGTTTGCATCTCATACTTCCATGCCATGTAGCAAGGTATGTATAAACTGTTTTTGCTATGAGATTTTAGGATGCTTCTCTTTATCATGAGTTTGGATGGACTACATCTCACGCTTCTCCAGAATGTCTTTACCAATGTTTCCCTAACTTCTTCTACAAATAACCATGCCAGTTCAAGGCATTTCTTCATACCACCTCACCAGCAGCCTCCTTAGCTTGAATGGAAAAGCATTTTGAGAAAGATGAGGTAGGACAAGGAAGAAGGGAAAGTCACACATTAAAATCTCAGGCCTTGCAGCCAGAAAAGTCATTAAAATAGATTTGCAGGGGTCCTCAGATTTCCTTTATTTGGCCATGACAGTGCTCTCAACTTTTTCTCCTTTTCACCCTCCAGGTAGATTCCTTGAGCTTCTTCTTTAAAGCAGTGTTTCTCAACCTTTTAAGTAGCAAGTACCCACTAACTTGAGAAAATTTTAATAAGTACCCCAACACTCAATTTTCCAGGGGATTTTATATTTACAGACTAATGTGTGCCATATGTTGGAAGAAAGGCTGTGTATATAAGGCCATGATATGACAGATGTCTGATCTGGTGTGGGTAGGGTTGCCACCTTTTACATCAGGGGTGCACAACTCAAGTATGTACCTGGGCTAGAGGTGATGTTGGCCAAAGCTAGGGGTGTTGAACCCAGTGCTGCGCAAAGCGTGGCATGCCAAATTCTTACTGGGGAATTTACTGGGCACCGAATTTTTTGCTATAGTTTTGAGAGGAGGAAGGGGCAAGAGAGAGAGGAAAAGAGGGCAAGAGAGAGGGCTAGGGTACCCGTGTACTTCCTGAATGGGTCTCGTGGACCCCCAAGACTACACATACCCCAGGTTGAGAAACTGTGCTTTAATGGACCAAATTTAGAAGTGATGTTTAAGTTGAGACACATTACTTCTTCTACACCCTCTCACATTTTCTTCTGAAAGAGGAAATTCAATGGTATGGAATTCAAAATTAGACTATCTTATAAATCACCTCTGAATCTGGCCCACTAACTTGTATCTCATTACTGCATTTATGAACCTCCAATTGGCCCACAGTCACTTCTTTTCCATAACTTTCAGTACCCTTCTTACACCTCTTCCATCTCCACAAATGTTACTCAAACTTAATTTCTTTCCCCTATTCCCATAAAGCTTGTGGCTTTCAACTTTACTTTCCAAAGAAGCACAGACACTGGTTAAACTGCGAAGTTACACTGATTGGCAAGCTGATTTATGAATTTAGATCCATCTGAATACCACTATAGCTAAACCAGAAAAAATCTCTGGGTGGACAATTATATTTGTTTAGAAATATGTATATTGGTTTAGCTTGTGCCTGAAAGTTTTTTGATGCACTGCAGATCCCCACAAGGAAAACAATAAGAGTGCCCACACAAGGCTTAGTGCAACACAATTTTGTCATGTAGACAATGGCTTTGTTTAAATTTTTCCGCCTATGGTAAATTGTCTTATTTTTACCTTAATTCCCACTGTCTTTTTAAGTTTAAAAGGAGTGTTTTAGCTTTCATAATATGCAGTATAAAATGAAAGAAATTTATTTTAAAGCATCAACTAAAAATGTCCCTCCACTCCTTCCTGTCTTACCATTATTGTTCTGTATTTTTAATGACCAATCAAGGAAAAAAATAAAAATAATAAAACCATTATTTTGTCTACTGTTGTTCCTGTCAACCCTGCCAACATTCAACATTGGAAATGTATTGTGTTATTCAAAACAAAATGAATATCTATTATTATGCTGCTAATTTTCATGCCCTAACTAGCATCTTTCCACTACTTGTTCTGCTAATTAATTAAATACATTTTGAAATAAGAAATGAGACAGTTTTAACTTAACAAGTTTCCTTCTACTCCAAGGCAAAGAAAAGGCAGTTTGAATAGACAACTATTTTAAAATATGATAAAGAAAAATTTCTGAAAATGCTAAAGTATAGAAATGGTTCAGTGTGAGTGGCACGTGGCTCTTTTTTCCCAAAGGTTGCTATAAAAAAATTGGCAATTGGCTTTCTCCCTAAGTTTTATGTATTTATTTTTACTGAAAGTAGGCTATGTGCTTTTCACAAGTTTTGTCAGCCAAAGTTGTGTCAGCCTACAGCAGCTGACAGGATTGTGCCAACAGAACACATGTACACTCCTGTGTTCGGGGGCGATGCGTAGGGCATGCACCCCCTACAAAAAGGCACCACCGACACCCCCTACAAAAAGGTGGCACTGCCACCTGTGGGTGGTTGCTGCTTGCCTGTGGATGGTCCGTGATTGCTGCTGGCTGCCGCTGCCGGCAGCACCTGCAGGTGGTTGCCAACCCCTGGCTGGCGCTTGCCAGGCCCCCCCACCGACAGCACCAGCAGCATCTGTGGGTCCTCTGTGCTTACCACCGCAGTGCTCTCACTGCTGTCAGTGCAGCCATGCCCCCCACAGCTGCTGGGGGCACACATCATTCATGCCTGTGTTTGTGCTAGCACCATACATCCTTACCACAAGCAGCTGTGTCAACTGATGATGAAATGCATGTGGCTAGGTATCCCAGTGGCTCCTGTGGAACTATCTAATATAATGCACTGTGGGATGTGGGAGAGATGCATTATGGCATGTTGGTGATGTAGCGAGGGAATTGTAAGTGCTCTGGCCCAACATCTCACAATGTCATTCTCTCTGCATCTTTGCCCCTTCCAATAATTTTCATGGTATTGTTTGGAAGCACAGAATCCCTCATGTTTTCTCTCCTTACCAATTAACATGAGGATTGCAAAGAAGTCACAGCCGGAGAGTGAGTCCATGACACAAAAGGGCTGCACATTTCTTTTGTATTTGCATAATGAGAACATTGGATTGCGTAATGTGTAAGCTGGTACAATGTACAAGCAGCAAGAGTACCCAAGGAAATGTAATTATATTGCATGTGACAGGGCAGAATAGGTACTAAGCAGGCCACGCCTGAAAGATGTAGCCTCAGGGTGAGGTACCCTCAGAAAGATAACTAATGGAGAAAATACCAGCCAACTGTAGGAAGTAATACTTAATTACTTCCTACACTAGTTGTGAATAGCTATTCTACATTGCTAAAATGTTGCTAAGCAAAAAGTCATGATGAATGTGACAAAAGTTGTGTTTCCACATGAGTAACCACATAAGAGTGTGTGTTAGGTAATACCCTTGGTCTTGGTTACCTAACAGAACCTGTGTAATGGCAAAATTGAAGTGTCTGAAGAAATGATTCATTGAACAGACTTGACTGACACCTCCTCACTGGACATCAAAATAGTCGTGTTCTTGCTGAACTAATCGTATGCTATGATACTGACTGATATGGAGTTATATTGGTTGTTCTCAATAAAGATATTGTAGAATACCTGCTCTGAGTACACATTTCCATGAATTCCTTCCCCTTGGGAAGCCAGGCCCAAAACATAAGCAAGTGATCAGAAATGGCAGGCTGCTTCAGGCATTTTCTGTCCACCAAACAACTTTAAGAACCATTTCTGGCTTGAGAAATTAGCACTGGAGTGGTGGAATTGCACTGGGATCCAAGTCTGGAATCATCTACAGTAGCTGCAAGACTTTCAAATACAATAAGTAATATTTCTAGGGCTGTGTGCTTTTCTTTTGACTCTCCAACATTAAGATACAAGGATGAGACTTGCCAGGTGATAAACAAGTGATTGTGTTATGGGAGCTGCCAGTGTCAAGTGACTGTCAACTGGTGGGGGAAGTTCACAGCTGAGACCACTCTCATCAGGCACAGAATTGTGTTTTGGACAGAAGATAAAGGGGTTTAAGGTGCTTGGGTGGAACAACAGTGGGAGGGGACAAAAGATGGGATGCACATTCCAGTTTTGTCCCCACCCCCACTACCTTGCATTGCAATACATTATTAGGAAGGGGTACTTCTGCATGGTGATGCAGTTACCAGTA